ATAAATATTTCAGGGCAAGGCTACAAATGTTGCGGCAAAATGCCATGGATCTTTTTTAGAAATCGGAGGTGCTCGAGCGCAACGTTTGGGACGTTTGACATAGAATGACCCTCCATCGAGTTCGACAGGCGCGCGGAACGCCATAGACGGCAACCACGCTCACACGACCCTCGGGCAAGCAAATACACGCGTCCACGCACAACGAGCAGGCGCAGAGCGACACAACCGTTACAAAGTTACAAATTTGGAAGAGGTGAAAAGTGGAGCCAAGGGCCGAGGCCCAGGGCGCCGGCCAGTCGAGCGAGTTTGCTGCTCATGCAACTTCCTCCCTGTCTGTTTATGATTTAGGTTTTAGACCGATAGACAAAAAAAAAAAAAAAAAAATAGAAATTTATGTATCAAATAAATTACATTTTATTTGCAGGACGCGGGGAAGACATTTTGTTGAAATTATTCTTAGCAAACGAAGTTCCATATTTGTATTGTATTAATGAGAGCCCCCACCACGAAAGCGCTGCTGCCAGTGGCGACGCTATTCACAGCGCCGCCAATGGTGGCGACGCTAATGTCGAAGCCGCGAAACTCGGACTGTGACCGGGGGTTGACTTGGTCAAAAGCAATGGCAGTGCTAACGCACATTGCGGGCGATGAAGATTTTAAGTCTGCACTCGTGCAGCTGCACGGTGATATAGCTTTACTGCGGTAGGTTCAGGAAAGAATTGCAAAATTGAATTTCCACATAGCTTCACGTAAAACAGAACTTTGTGAACACCACGTCGCTTATGCTGCCATATACCTCGCTAGAGATATCAGACTATATCTGGCATTATGACGCTATATCTGGCAGACATCAGGTTATATGTGGCCAATGTTTGATATGTGCCATACATGAAATCTTCAGATCTGGCCAGATATTTTTTTTTTGTAAGGATGCGAGGCAGCCGACATTTTGAAATTTTCCCTTTCCCTGGGCACGAGATCCCTCGAGAAGTTCCCGCAAGTAATTACCAGCGTTGCTTGGGTACGAAATACGTGCTAGCATTTTTTTTACATTCTGCTGATTCGCACTTTCGACTCACAATTTCTTGAATTACGCGAAGCTTTTGCGTGGTGTGCACTAAAGCTATTCATTAGCCGGACTAGTCTTCATGGCATTGCATTGCTTTTTCTGCAGTGTCTACAAGCTCTGCAAGACGAAAAGGACATTCTTCAAAGACCTGGGCATACCGGGACCAGATCCTCATCCCATTTACGGAAATATGGCTGAACTCTTCGAAATGGTACATTATTTCTCAGTAAAGTGGTTTTTGACACCTTTGCTTGAAGAGCTGGAACAGGAAATTGTGTTTGATTCTTTTAGCACAATACTTCCACAGGTTCAACGGATGTCTCTACATACCTTTTGGCTATAAACTGCAAATGAAGAAGCTTGAAAGCCGTTTCCTTTTATCAAAATATATATGAAAAAATAATTAACAACAGAAAATATCAAAATTTTCATAGAGGCCTATCCACTTTGTAAACACATCCCCCCTCCCACTCCGCCCCCTCCGCTGCCCCCCCCCCCCCCCCCCCCCCCCCAGCCCCGTTCATAAAATAAAGCACTTTTTTGTGAATTGCACATCACGAAATTATATATGTATAACTTCGTGATGTGCAGTTCACAAAACATTGATATATATATATATATATACATACATAGCTTCACGTAGTTTGGGAAATAAAGTTTTAGAGACTGTATGACGAACGCCGGGTCCTCCAGGCGAAACGGTTGGGAAATAAAGTTTTGAAGTTTTAAGTTCTAAGTTTCCAGGTTTTTTTTTTTTGGCGACGTTTTTATTTACCTAAGTTTTTTTATTCGTTCAAGTTTCTACTCCATATATATATATATATATATATATATATATATATATATATATATATATATATATACATATATATAAAACTGAGAAGAAAAAAACCCTTAGTGAAAAACAGCAACAACGGACGATTTAATCTTCGACGTTTCGGCCGGAGTCCGGCCTTCCTGACGAAAGCCGGACTCCGGCCGAAACGTCGAAGATTAAATCGTCCGTTGTTGCTGTTTTTCACTAAGGGTTTTTTTCTTCTCAGTTTTGTACCCACGCCTTCGGCCTCCCGCCACCATGCCCGTTATATATATATATATATATATATAGAGAGAGAGAGATGTGCTCAATTTCAATTTTCCTGTCGTGCCTGTGTTTCTTCTTTGATTCCGTATACCTCAACTGTTTGTCTTGATGTTCCAGGGTACATTGAAAGCGACTGAAGGGTGGGCCTCCAAATACGGTGATATTGTCGGGTAAGTTACGCTTCCTGCCCCTTGGCGTTTTAGAGTGTGATGCTAACTTACTTTCTTGTACGGCTTACACGACAGTAGTCTGTGCCTCATATATAAAAAAGACGCTTACCTAGATGTTTTTAGAATAAACACGAGAAAAAAAACACAAATACAACACGGAGTATGTTAGACAATAAATTAAAGTATATTTTAATTCCTGCACTCTCAAAACAAAATCTGGTCGTAAAATAACTCTCAGGGGAAAGTACGGACTTAACAATGGGCAGAGTAGGCAGCTGCCTATAAAACGTCAAAAGTTTGGGAACGCCCAATTTGTTGTCACCCCCAAATTAATTGGCTCTCTCTTTTATTTTTTTTTAATCTAGCTCCGATTTTATCACTTTGAGAATTCTAGCTCCGAATCTAGCCCCTTTTGAAAGTATTAATTTTAAACATAGCTACTTCCCCCCCCCCCCCCCCCCCCCCCTCCCCCCGCTCCCCATCTCCTCACCTAAACATTTTGATGACCTCTTTTCTGAGAACGAACTCTCGCTGCCCGGCTACGACACGTATACGCGACCGACCATCCCGCATCGCCAACGAACGCCGAACAGTCCGGGTGGCAAAGCGCCGCCGCACAGCGTCAATTACAGGGGCAACGCGGCGGTCCTAGTGGCTGCCCGCATCCCGCGTGACGAGCTGGACCTCCAGCGCTGGTGCACGCAACATCAAGAGGTCGTGGGCATGGCCCTCCAACTCCCCCAATGTAAGGTCGTGGTGGTGTCGATATACGTCCGACCGTCGATCCGCAACAGCGTCACCATTGACTGGTCCTGGGTCGAAGACCTGCGGAAAATGCATCCCGATGCCCTCGTCGTCATCGGTGGCGACTTCAACACACGCCACACGTGCTGGGGATCGAGTACCGACACATACGGTTCGAACCTAGTTTGCGCAATGGAGGACAACCACCTTAGCTTGCTCAACGATCCGGACTTACCAACTCGAGTTGGCCAGCACGCCCGCCAGGGTGACACCACGACCGACCTGACATGGACGAACCGGCGGCGGGCCCTCTTCTGGGAACTAGGAGCAGACACGTGGGGGAGCGACCACCTGCCCATCTTCATTCGTTTGCGCGGTCACAAGATTACGGCGCCGAAACGAACTACGAGCGTCGTCTGGTGGGACGCCTTCCGCGCAGAGCTGGAGTAAACACCCGTCACCACATCAGGCGGTGACTCGGAAACGCACGGACTGGCTCACCTCCTACGGACAATACGCGGAGCCAAAAGGTCATCTACCCAGCAATTTCAAGTGGCGGAGGACAAGCCGTCACCGACTTGCACCTGGCTAACCCATGGCAACAACGCCTCGACGCGCTGTGTGCGTACAGAGAGAGAGGACGAATGCCCGGACTGCGATGTCGTCTGAGCCTTATAACGGCTGAGGCGCGTGATTACGCAAATACACTCTTACAGACAGATGGTGCGACCTCTGCTCCAGCTTCAACGGTAACATGAGCGGACCGCGCATATGGCACATCTTTCGCAATTGGCAGGGCAAAGCCAAGAGACGCACCACGGCGCAGACAACGGCTCTACGCATGCGAATCTCGGAGGAGCAGCTGGCGCTCCAGGCTGGGGCAGTGTTCTTCCCGCAGCCTGCGGCTACACCGGATCCCACCATATACTCCCGAGACTCCGCAACACCGACCCAGATGATCGGAGATTTCCAGGCATTGGATCTCCGAGTACCGGAGCAGGTCGACATGGACCAACCGTTTCAAATGGCCGAACTTCACGCAGCTTTAGCAAGGGCGAACGCCCGCAGCGCACCTGCCCAGACCTGATAACCATCTCAGAACTGCGCAACCTCCCTGAACTCCCCCTTCAGCTTGTCCTTGACGCGATAAACGAGATTTGGGCGACGGGCAAATTCCCGAGCTCCTGGCGCGAATCCCTGGTGATACCAATTCCAAAACCGGGCAAGCCACCAAATGAGTTCACTAAACTCCGGCCAATTTCCATTACCAGCAACCTGTGTAAACTCACTGAACGTATGGTCCTCGAGCGACTCATGTGGCATCTCGAGAGGAACTACCCGCTCCACCCACATCAGCTAGGATTCCGCCACGGGATGAGCACGCAAGACATTCTCCTTATGTTGCACCACCAGGTCCTTGACGCCTACTCGAAAGTGCAGACGAGAACGGTGGTGGCGGTGGACGTTCGCAAGGCCTTCGACACCGTCCCTCACGAGGCGGTCATCCAGAGCGCAGAGCTTGCCGGAGTGTGTGGCCACCTTCTCAATTTCGTTAAGAGTTTCCTGAACGACAGAACGTACAAGATCAAAGCCGGGGACTTCATTGAAGCCGCTCAACCGAACAGGACCGGGGTACCGCAGGGCGCGGTCCTCTCGCCCACCCTCTTCAACCATGGTCATGGCAAGACTTCCCCCACTCCTTGAAGCGGTTCCGTCGCTGCACTTCGCCATATACGCCGATGATGTCACCATCTGGACAACGACGGGATCGGCGGGTGAACAGGAGCACACGCTTCAGCTTGGCCTCGACGTCATACAGGGCTTTCTTCGGAATGTCGGCATGACCGCCTCGGCCGAGAAGACCGAATACGTCGCGGTTTTAAACGGGCCCCACAGAAAGACCTAAGCGGTCCGCAACCAAATCGCCCTCAACATGGCCGGCCAGGGGATACGGCGAAAGCCCTCCGTTCGGATCCTGGGAGCCTACATAGGTCAGGACGGCAAAGGCACCACGTGGGTGACGAAAGTCGCCTTGCAGTGCAGATCCCTCCTCCGCCTCATCCGTAGAATCACACACCTTCAGTGAGGCACGCGGGAGCGAGAAACGCGCCAGCTCGTCACGGCGCTGCTTGAATTCCGTATCCTCTACGGCTATAACTATCACGTCCTCATGCCCAGGCAGGCGGAGCAACTCGAGAAACTCAATCGCGAAGCCATCTGCATTGTTACCGGACTGCCTAAACATACGCCCCTCCGGGAGCTGTACGCACACGGCCGCATGAATCTCCAGTCGGAACTCGCCAAACAGGCGCTCCTCGCCCAGAGAGACCGCCTCAGCAGCTCGACAGCTGGGCTTTCCATATGGGAAGAGCTTCGCGTGCCTCCCAGTCTGGACGTCCGCCCGGCGGACGCGTACTCGCCCCCTCGTGGGCCGCCCCGGTCACGCTTACCGACAAAAAACCCCTCCCACGAAACATGGGACCTGGAAAGAGCAACTCGGAGCGACGCAAACGCTTTGACAAAGCGCACACACGTAGCGTCGCGCACAAATCACCGCCTACGCACACCATCATCTACACTGACATGGCGGAGACCTTGCTGTCGACTGCCGGCGACGACGGCGAAGGAGAGGACAGAACCCCCAAGCACGTCCAGGCGGTCGCGTGGGTCGACACCACCCATGGCATTCCGAACTCGGCTGCGCTTTCGACCACTGAAGACGTCGACACTACGCAAGCGGAACTCATGGCACTTCTCCGAGCATCTCAGCGGGTTCTTCAAACTTTTGCACCAACAGACTATCCACACAGGCTCCTACTGTTCACCGACTCGACCCGCGCGTACGAAACTTGCAGACGAGTGAGCGGGAGCCCATCAACGTACACGGGAATAGTCGGCGAGTTGCTCGCCGCCTTCCTAGAACTTCGAAACAAGCTCAACATCCAAGCTACTATTTCCTGGGCGCCCGCGCATGCGGGCATTGACGGCAATGAGTGGGCCCATAGCGAGGCGCGAGCAGCAGTTCGCCAGATGGCATCCGCGCCGAACGCATTCCACAACTCAGCCGGCGAGGCAGCCAGCCCGGCCGACCCGTCCCAGGCAGCACAAAACGTCGTGGAAACGTCGAGAAAAAGTCCCGGACGTCCGTGACGTCCCGCATGACTTCGATCACGTTTTTTCGATGTTGAGGTGACGTCCTTATATAACGTTCCATTAGAGTCCAATCAGTGACGTTGTGACGACGTTGTATTTCAACTCAAACGTCGTCAACGTTCCCACGACGTCGATGCACGACGTTCTCACAACGTCCAACGCTCACGTTTCTTTGACGTTGAACTGAAGTTCATAAATGACGTCCCATTATCGTCTTGTCCGTGACGTGCTGGCGACGTCACGTTTCAACTTTAACGTCGTCATCGTCACCACGACGTCACGATAAGACGTTTTAGCAACGTCGAACACTCACGTGTCTTCAAAGTTAAAATAAAGTCCTGGGTGACGTTACATTATTGCCCCGTCAGTGACGTTTCAGTGACGTCGCGTCCACACGTAAATGTCGTAAACGCCATACAAGACATGCTGGCAACGTCGACCACTCACGTTTTGTTCGACGTTTTTAGATTTTTCAGCTCAATCTCCAGCTGCAGAATCACTGTGGTCAAGGTGACAGTGCTCAAGAGCCGCAAAGAAAACTTAATTTTTGAGGGTTTTTTGAGAGAGTTTCGAAATGCTATTAATTGCACATCGATGACGCTAAAGAGGGCATTTACAAAACTCAATCTACACGGAAGAAAAAAAATAATATGAAAGCATGTTGGAAATATCATTCCTTTTAGATGTGCTTGTTATAATTTTGGTTTGTTTAAAATATTGTTACGGGTTTAATCTGCGAAGCTCATGGCGTCTAGAACGGATCGAATTGTAATATTCTTACATTTTGCACGCGCACTGTCGTCTTCCATGGGTCCTGGGCCCTGGCACGCGCCTCAGGGGCGCCGCACTATCCCCTCTCCAGGTGATTTTAGGCTTACATCCTTTTTTAGGAGCATCCATACTGCTCCGCGACCACCCGAGATTGTTTTAAGGTTCGTCAGTTGTTTTTTCGTATTTTGTAACCCATGCTCACCTGCGCACTGCCAAAATATTCGCATCAACATCACAGTTCATCCATAACACCAACTTCCAGCGCCTTAGCGCTTTCGGTAGATCGGGGCGCAAAGTCTTGTCACGTGACTGTCAGTACAGATCTGGCTTTCGTTGCCACTGGTGACGTACCCAAACCAAAATCGCATGCCAGCAAAGACTATATCAGAGCACAACTTCACTGCACACTTGCGCATTTTTGGAGTTGACTCAAAAAAATAAATAAAATAAAATGCCCGGCAATGACGAAATCCGGTAGATACTGTCAACGGTTTGTGGAAATTGACATTCATGACGCCAACCCCTGAATGGCCCAGATGACGGTCCAAAAAGCGTTCAACCCCAGTCCGCACTTACGTCCGAAAAAAAAAAAAAACACAGCAAAAAAGAAAAAAAAAAAAAACAGCCGGCACGTCGCGAGAGAGAGGGGGAAAGGTAGGCAGAGGAGAAGCCAGTGGCAACTCCATAGAGCCCCATGCGATACGTCGGGAAGCTCGGCAAGAAGAGGGCGAGCGAGAAAAGTGGGGGAAGATAGCGACGGACGAACAATTGACAAGCCTAAGTTCCGGGTGCACGTATTTTCTCAGTCGTTCCCAAAATATTTCACTGAATGTTCTGTTCTTCGAATTGGCCCAGAGAGAACAGCCCTGGGACCCGGTCCAGCTTTTTCCGAAAGCCAGTCACTAGCACCGGCTGTCACGTCTACGGGTCTACGAGGCAGGCTGCTATGTCGCCATGATTTTTCTTTTTTTTTAGTCTGCATACAGTATAAGTGCTGCGATTGGATGAGTCGTTCAAGTCGCCCCTATGAAGAAGTCGGTGATCGCCAAAAACGCCGTCGTATTCAGTCACGGCTCGAGGACCTTTTTCAAGGCCATAACGCTTCACACGTTGAATCGTACTACTGCTCCGATCAAGGTGCCTGTGAGGAATGAATGACGCCCCCAGAAAACAAGTGGCAGTGCACATACCGGCGCGTCAAGTCCAGCCTCCGATCAAGACCGTTCTGACGCTTCCGACGATCCCAATCAAGAACGCCCAGCGGACGGGATCCCCCTTCTGAAACCATTCCCGTGCACGCAGCGAGAGTACCAGCTACGCGCAATGGGACGGCTAGAGCACGCGCGTCAGCGCATTAATCAGAAGCAGAACGAGGTAAGCGGTGGAACATTCCGCGCCGCGTGACATCGTCTCTTGTTCACTTATTTACGTGAATTAGTTTGTTCTTTTATATCTTTGAGGCTGGCCCATCCAGGGACGTCTTTTGGAGGCGCTCCGTATTGTATCTCGTGTCTGAACATGCTCAAATAAACAGTTCGTACAAAACCTGTGTTTTAGTTACTTCCTTCGTACTTGCATGATAGCAGCTTGCCTTCGCAATAATACTAAAAAAATACTTTTTTTCTTTTTTTTTTTTTTTTTTGGGGGGGGGGGGGGACACAACGTTTTCCCACGACGGCTAGGGAACGTAATTTGGAAAGGTTTCTCGACGTTCTGTGAACGTCGTTGGTAGTCCGGATGTCGTAAACACACGTATCATAAACGTCGAGGGAGGACGCAACGGCCCACTGAGACGTGCATGTGATGTGCAACAAACGTCATTTGGAACGTCCCCTCGACCTCCTGTGCACCTTTTCTCGCGGACATTTAAAGGTTTCATCGACGTCGAAGGAAGGTAACGTCGGGACCTTCGACGTTTTACGACGTCACGTTACAGACGTCTTCAACGTTCTTTCGACGTTTTCTTCACGTTTATGTGCTGCTTGGGGTCTGTCGTCAAGGAAAGTGCTAAACAGCGAAGGCGGAGAACCCTACGCACCTTCGTGAGGAGTGGGTGGAATGCCCGGACGAGCAGTTGCGTCCCGTTCCTCCGATGCCGAATGACCTACCGAGGAGCACTCAGACCCTCGTCCGCCGCCTCGCGACCAACACTGTCCTATCCCCGGCGCTGCGCCATAAGTTCTTCGGCGACGATCCCGACGAGGGGGTGTGTTGCCGGTGCCAGAGGACCGCGACGGCTGCCCACGTTGTCTGGGAGTGCGAGCGCCACGCTAGCCTTCGGAAAACGAAACTGGAGGAACTCCCAGACGAGATCCGTCCGGCGACGTATGTCGATTGGATTCTGCCCACCAGTCGTGACAAGACGATCGTCTCCCTGCTGTGGACAAAGCTGGCGGAGTTCATCTACGTCAACGACGGCCCCGGTGGACGACTTTGCAGCAGCCGAGGGCACTGGGACCAACACCCACCCAGACCGCCATGACGGCAACGGCAGATCCTTAGGCCCACACCGATGCAGACGACAATGGTGCATTATATGTGTGTATGGTATATATATATATATATATATTATATATAACAGGGCAATAAAGAATGTTTTAACAACTGTGAAAAACCGTGTCCTCTTGTGTTAGTAATGTACACAATTTATAGGTTTAGCTCTTAGGGATCTAAATTTTTTGTCCGCGCCTGGTGCGTGGCTTTGATGGTTACGTCACGGTGCTGACGTCGCGGTTATCACAACCGTTGTGTTTTCTGGCCGTAGGGCTGCAACGACGATGAGCCCAAAGGAAACTTTCCGGTTATCGTATTATACGTGAGATCTTGACGTCACGCACAATTGTGGCGTCATGTGACGCTATAAATATCCATCGTACCGTCATGTCACGTGTCCCAGTAATGTCACGTGACTCTGCGACATCTCGTGACACCATGGCGCGAAGGTGTCACGGGAGGTCACACTGTGACGTGTCATCATCATGTTACAGACAACCTGTAAATAACAATGCATTCAGAGCGGCTTCGGAATATACCAAAGAGACGGGCTTGTGCGTTGGCACTTTTGTAGGAGGGCAAGCCAGAGTACCTGTTTTACAGTGTGATGGGAACTTCGGTGAACAGGCAAAAATGTAGCCAGAGAATTTGAAGAGGGTACTTTGCATCTACTGGATCAATTAAGTTGAGACATGAAAAAAACAAAAAACATGTTGTAATAATGTAGCACATAAAGCGTGCGCGATATTTACAGAAAAAACACAGAATATTCGATACCTTTGGTAGACAAAACAAAATCGTATTCTGATAATCTTTTGCATTTCTTTTGTATTATCGTTTAGGTATTTCAGCGGCTTCAGACCCGTGATCATCGTCCGAGACCCCCAACTCCTCAAACAAGTATTTATTAGAAACTTTGACAGCTTCAACGCAAGACTGGTGAGATATGAATCCTAAAGTAGACATCTATTTGGATTGCTGGGTCTCTGTGTTCTGTGTATGTTTCACG